TTGGATCTCAATTCAGCCCTGGTTTTGCCAGCATCAGTATCTCTGAGCCTGGGAACGTCTGTCAGACCCGAGGACACACTCACACGGGAAGTGCCAGAGAATGGGTTCCTTCTCCCTGCGTCCCAGTACCATCTACCAGTGATGGGCTGCAGGTCACGCATAGCCCTAGCACCCTTCACCCTCAGGCAGCCAGCTCTGAGACACAGCATTTCTTTCCTAGCAAGACTGAGCTCCTGTTGCCGAGACGTTCTTATTTTGCCCCTCAACTGGCCGCCCTCCCTGTCTTCCTTCCCCACCTCCCTACTGGTCTGCGCTGGGATCATCTACATAGCTGACGTGCCCTGGATCCTTGTCTGCCTAGAGAACGAGAGCTAAAACTAGAAATCGAAGTGCTGCCACCCTTCCCAGGGCAGAGGGCTGTGCAAGTGGGTCTCAAAGCTTGGGCTCCCTGAGCTCCATGCCACACCTGTTTGCCACTCCAGGGGACAGCTCACCACCTGCTTCGGAGCACCTGCTACACGTTGAGCAGTTAGCCCATGTTAGTGCACCTTTTCCTGGCACTGTACTGTGTATTGTCTTATTGTCACAGCACAGGATAAGGTAGAAACTTCCATGGCCTCATTTTACAATGGCACTGGATAGCGAGATTATATAACCTGTCCGAGCTAGGATGTCGCAGAGCTGGGATGAGAACTCTGACTCCAGCCTCGTAGGCCTTTCCTCTCACCAGGTATAAAGTAGAAACCTTCCATAGCCCCATTTTCATGAGGACTCTGGCTAGAGAGATTACATGACTTACCTGAGATACAAAGTTGCAGAGCTGGGATGAGCACTCTGACTCTCCAGCCTTGTGGGCCTTTCCTCTCCCAGGTATATGGGTAAATGTTTCACATCAGTTTTCTGGAAAAAGCCTCGATCTTAACATTTGTTGATTTTGATGGTGCGAATACTCCCAGCATGGTTGACATAGTGGCCCTGGACGTGTGTGGGAAAGAGTTCTCCTATGTCCTCTCTGAGCTCGGGCTGGCCGTGCTAGCCAATTGCAGGGCCCCACAGCCACTGTTGTTAGGAGCTAGGGAAAGGAAGGAGGTGTTTACTGTTCACAGTGTGTTAGCTGATATTATCTGGTTTTGAGAAAGAGTAAGCAGCTGGAGCTGGCCCCGGGAGAAAGTGGAATTTGCCAGTGGATTCAGTCTCCAAAGGAAGGGCAGCAGGCAGCAGAGCCTTGGAGAGGACAGGGAATGAGGAACACATGTGTGGGACCTGTGGTCCTCTTCGGGGCTTGGTCCACCGCAGGTCAGCAGTGGCCGGTGGGAGAATACTGCCGGCACTGCTCTAGAGCTCACTTGCCAGGTTCCCACCCCTGCAGAGAGCGAGGGCCCTTCAGTCTGGCTCAGGGGCCCAGGGTCTACCCCAGGCTGCTCAGCTGTGGCCACGTGGCTTTAGTGAGTCTGCTTGCGCTTGCTCGTGTGTGTGCTGGAGATGCCATCCAGACTCGGAAAGCCCCTGTCTCTGCAGTGCTGCGGTGCCTCAGGCTAGTCACTGTACTGCGGTCTTCTGGGCTCCTCTTTCCCACTCCCTGACCACCCTTCTGGTGACATCCTGTTTGTCTTTCTGCCATGGTGTGCATGGAGTTTGTCCCCCAGAGGTTCAGGGGCTAGAAGCCTGGTCCCCTGTGCGGTGGTGTTAGGAGGGAGGTGATAGAACCTGTAGGAGAGGTGGCCCAGCAGAAAGTGGCCAGATGTTGAGGCTGCTGCCCTCGTAAAGGATTGCATTGGTGCCTTGGTTCACAAACTTGATTCTTTCCTTGATTCTGGTCACAAAGTGAGTTGGATGAGAACTGAATCAAATTCATTGGTTAGGTTCAATGTTGACCTTATGGGGAATGTGATTTGGTTCTTGTACAGTATGGTTTGCAACCAGAATCATGGTGAGAATTGAGTTCATGAGCCAAGGCACCACAACAATGTAATTTTTTGTGGAAGCCTGGCCCCTGAGTCTCCGTGGCTTCCTGTTTCAGCTTGTGTTTGAGCATGATCCCACCATGACACCATCTTCCAGGTGTGAGGCAGAATCAATAGGGCTGCCTAGGTTTATAGTTTCAGCCTCCAACCTTATGAGCTAAAGAAACCTCATTTTGGATATTCAAATGTTTGCAATGCATTTCTTTCATAGTGGAGTAAAAGAAAAAGACCACAGATGATGGAGCCAAACAGAACAGGGTGGGTGTGTTTCTGCCACTCTAACTGTGGAAATTGAGCAGAGTTGGTGTTTCTGCAAACTCCAGCTCTACATTTGCACAATCGTGCTGGTGATGACTGTCACAAGACTGGGAGACGCGTGCCCACCATCATGCACAGCTCCTGGAGTCGAGGACCGTGGCCCCACAGTGAGTTAAATAAGAGCCTTTCACAGAGTACTGGGCGCACAGCCGGCAGCTGTAGAAGCTCCATGTAGGGACATCTGCTCTGCTTGGCAGTACTGTACCCTGAAACGTGGAAAGCGATCGATGGATTTTGGCTGAATGGCTCATTGTTCATTAAACAATAAAATGATTCCTTGGTGTAAATGTGAAGTGAGTCCAAGAAGTAAGTCCAATTGCAGCAATGCTGGTGTGACCACCGAGGAGTCGCTCATCCAGGAGGACCCTAACCCAGAGCTGCCATGGTCCGGCGTAGATCCTCTCCACCCTGAGAATGAATCCAGTGCCAAAGAAGACAGAGACACAGATGGAGAGAAGCACCTTTCTGATGAACTCATGGAAGCACCTAGATCCAGCCCTCCCGGGCCACACATGTACTCGCGGTCCCAGGGCAGGTGATGACTGCATTGTACTTTTCTCAGACACGTTTCCACAAAAGAGATCAGGAAGCATTAGAGCATACATGGTTTCCTGGGAAACAGCTCAGACCTCGTGGAACAAATACAGACACAACAGAGAACGTGACCCCAAGCCTGAAATCCATTCCACTTCCTTCATTGGTACAAGTGCCTGAAGAGGGAGACCAGACACTGCCGTTTTATGGATGTGCACACTGCAGGATTTCTCTCTCAGGCCCGGCTTGGGGTGGGAAGAACAGTGCCCATGGCATTGTTAAATCTAGGATCTCATGCCTGGCCTGTCTTGTTCCCTGGACGGGATGTTCGTGCAGCATTGACCAGGTACAGTGACCAGGCTCAGTGACAAATAAGTTTCTATGACTCTTCTTTCTGAATATGACCAAAATTCAAATGAACTCACTGTCTTAGTTACTTTTTCTCATTGCTGAAATACCTGATGCCCAAAGTTAAAGGGGGAAAGGTGTTTTTCTTTGGTGGGGGGTAACGGGGATTGAACTCCGGTCCTTGCACTTGCAAGGCAGGCCACCGAACAGCTGAGCTAAATCCCCGGCCCTGGAAAGGTTTATTTGCCTCACTGTTTGTAGAGGTTTCAGTCCGTAATCAGCTGGCTCCAAGGCAGGGTGGCATGGCTGACAGGCATTGCAGAGGAGAAACCGTTCATGGTGTGCAGAAGGCAGCAAAGCAACAAGAAATGACTTCAGCTCTTTCTATTCCTTTATATCTTATCCAGGCTACTTAGTGTGGGCAGCATTTATACCTTAAACCTAGCACCCTTGGTCCTAGCATTGCACCATGAATCAATCCCAGCATCACACACCCTAGATCCAGCCACCTCTGAAAAAGCCCCACCTATGACTGCATGAGGCTTTGGGGGACATCTAGATGCAAGCCATAATCCTCATGTAAGCCAAAGAGGGAACGAGGAGTTTTATAGACTCAGAATCCTACAAAAAGTTTCAGGAAAGTCCAAGTTCTGTGCAGACAGACAAATGGTTGAGTGAGGGAAATGCTCCAGTCATTTTCCTAAAACCCAGAGAATGTGAGGGAATGAGGGTTCTCTAGCTATGGCTTTCAGTATCGGGAGATGAACAGCTTTCTATGACAGCAAGTCTCATGTGCATGGACTCTTACCCTTCTCTCCCTTCTGCATCCTGAGCCCTGTCACCTCAGCAGCCGACCTGGGAGGAAAAAATACAAAGGCCTATCTGAGCATAATGTGTCCTAAGAGTTGTGGTCCAGCCTGGTGTGGGATGTTACTTTAAATATACCGTCAGGAGCAATTCTACATAATTTTGGGGAAAACTCATTTCACAATTGAATTATGATCAGGCCGAGTTTTCCTGCCTACAGGCCAGCTATGGCATGTCGAGGCATCACTCCATGTTTTGCCTATGGCCACAGCTGAGACCTCAATGGTCCTGTGATGCTGTGACGCTCAAGGGCAAGATGACATCAGCTGAAGACACCCTGGTTCCTTGAGAGCCAAGTAGTAAGAAAGAGGTCGCACCTGGTGAGAGACAAATTCCTCATCAGTTTCACTCCTCCCACCTACTATTGTAAGAACGCTCTCCTGTCAGTCCCAGTATAAGATCTTATGCCCTAAGATCTCTATCAGCATAAGATTCTCATCTATATAGGATTACACTGCCCCCTGAGTCACCCGGTGCTCCCTCCAGTTATTGTGTGTACCAAATAGCGGCAAGCTGGGAGAGTCTTTGTCTTTGCCTGCTCTGAGGCACTGACCTGACCTCTGATACTTAAAAAAAACAAAACTCATTTTAAAATAAAGTAACCAGCCCCAGGTATTTCGTTATAGTGAGAAAATGAATTGGTATCCTCTCCTTCATTCCCTCTGCTGTTCGCTCTTCTTGGGCCTTGCACTTTACAAGTCCATTCTCACCGCAGGCCTTTTATATGCTCCTCTGGGTTTTCTCACGGCACACACTGTCCCTTTATTCTGAACTCTTCCTCAGACCGCCTCTCTCTGAGCACCTTGCCTCAATCAAGCCCCTCAGTTACTTTTCTCTTGTTACTGAGACAAAATACCCAATGCCCAAAGTTAAGGGAGGAAAGGTTTCTTTATCTCATAGTTTGTAGAGGTTTCAGTCCATAGTTGGCTGGCTCCAAGACAGAGTGTCCCATGACAAGCAGAAGACAGCAAAAGCAACAAGCAGTGGATAAGACAAGCTTCTTTCTGTCCCTTCTATTGTACCCAGACTACCAGGCTTAGGGCAGTGCCAAACCAGTCAGAGGGCTGGCTTAGTAGTCACACACCCTATCTCTGCATCACACACTCTAGATTCAGCCACCCCCCAAAAGCCCCACACCTATGACCATACAAGGCTTTGGGGGGGCATCTAGATACAAGCCCTAACATGTCCTGGCCTGTTCTTGTACCTGATTTATTTTTTTTTCTTACTGTTTCCAATCACATGGAATTAGACCGTATACTCCAGTGTGTGCTCATGGTTTCCTCACTGGAAGACAACCCAGAAAGATTGTGTCTTGTTTACAGAGGAATCTCTGCCCTCTGCTTGACCTGTTGTAAGTACTCAGAACCCATTTCTTGAATGCATGATTCAGTGAATAAAGAGGGAATAGATTTCAGACTTATTACAAAGGATACATGTAAAAACACATCATAGCTATTAGCTGTCAGTGTGTCTCTGGTTATCCTTTGCTTGAGCGGTATTTGTTTAAGCATGAGTTGTCATTCAGAGTGGTATCCACTCCTTAGTGTATTCAGACTGCATGCTGACCAGTGAGCTTCCCAGTGCTGTGTGGGTAGAGGCTCCTGTGTGCATGCAAGGGAGGAAAGAGTGCTGATGATAGTTTGATGCCCAGTGCTTCTGCCACAGGAAGGGGTGCAGCCAAAGGGCTAGCTTTCCACCCTCTACTTTTAAAGGTTCTTTCCAGCAGCAAACATTTCCATCTGCTTACACGGCTATGTCATAGGCAACCTCCAGAAAAGCTCTCTTTTGCTAATCACTAACTCAGTTATTAACATAAAGTGTTGAGGAAAAATAGTCCTGTTTTATTTTCAAAGAAACAATTGAGAGAAAGGTATTTTCCAAAGATATGCAATAAAAAATTATTTTTCTTGCAAAAAATTCAGAGCAGGAAGGAGAATATTGTGTTCATAAGAGAAAGTACACATTTGATCACACACAAGCCCTTTTTCTTTCCAAAGTTGGAGAGATTTTCAGTGGAAGAAAACTGACAACTTTGCCTCCAGGCTGAATCTTACAGTTCTTATCATCAGCAGCTGTGTTTATCATGTCTGAACATTGCAAGAACAAATCCAAGATTATAAGAATTGTGTTCACAGACGATCACTAGCAAAATGAGCATATCTCCACTATTGTGTGGCATTCTAAGTCTCATACATTTAATATGAAAAATTACCTCAGAAGTTGCTTATCAATAGAAGTTGATACATTTTGGTAAAATAAACAATTTTTGTACTGCAAAAATAGTGATTTTTCACACTGAGATTCAATCTTATGGGTTCAACCTTAGATGCACATGAAAGCCTAAAATAAACACCCAGACTGCTCAGGCCACCAACCAAAAGCAAAAGCTGGGCCCAGCAATCTTGACTGTGAGTTTTTGATCATTCAGTAGGTAACTCTGACCCATGGCCAGTGCTGAGCACCGCTCTCCCGGAGTGCTTGCTACTGTGTCTGCTCGGTGCTCTCTGGAGTTTTCTGATAGTATCTGCCTTCTCTGGTGCCTTTAGCCTTCCCTTTGCTCATAGCCCAGCTACCGGGTAAGCTGTTTCTCCTTTCAAAAAATGATCCAACAGACTCTTCTAGTGTCCTATTCCACCTTTAGAACACCCCAAATCCCCCAAACATGTCATGTAATGGAAATGTGGCATTCCATAGATTGAAGCCGATGAGTTAGAAATCAAGTTGGGTAAGAGAGAAGAGCCCAGCTTCTGGCGAGTCTCTCTTGGTATACAGTGGTCTTGGCCCAAAGGAAAGCTCTGCTGGGTGACTGTGGGAAGTTACTGGACTTCTCTGTGCCTCTGATTCCTCATCTCTAAGACGCGGATGTTGTTAATATTGGCACACAAAGTGATGTGAAGATTGCATGTGTAAAGCATTCACAGAGTACCTGGCACACACGCAAGATCCATGTGTGTTGGCAGTTATTATGATCATTACTAACAGTTTCAAATTCTTGAACTTAGAATTGAGTGAAGAAGAGTTCAGCGTGGAGCAAGCAAACAGAGCACATGACTGTCTTTGCGGTGAACACAATCTGATGAGAGTTTTGAGAATATTCTGAGCTGTGGCATCTTATTCTGCATATAGGTATAGCTTCTCTGCACCGTAGCAGTGTCCAGTCTCGCCTGTCCTTTTAGAGGTACAGGTTCCAAGAGATTTTGAAAAAGTTCCCTTTCTTCATTGTCGAATCAGCCTGGTATAGATAGATAAGGCTCTTGAGAAATGATGGAAATGAGTGTGAGCATTGCATAGCTGGACAGAAACAAGTGACTGCCTAATTGATTCATTACCTTTTAACACATAAATTAATTCAAGCATTAAACATAAACTGCACCAGATGCTGTTCTAGGAAGCAGAGATGCCTCAGGGAGATGATGTGGTCTGTGCCCTCATGTTGGTCACAGTCCAGAGCGTTTGCAGAGGGGGCTTCGTCCAATTTCAAGTGGCAGGAGGGGCATGAAGGCTGCTGTGTCCTCCTGTCTTCAGTGCTGGGACTTTCCCATTGCACTCTAGGGCTTCCATACCCACCACGATGAGTAGGCTGGGTTTACTTGTCCTCCCAAAGCTCTTGTTTAGTGAAAGCCTAGGTTGTCAAACAGTCTATGTATTCCTTTGCTGGAAATAAACTTTTCTTTTCTTGGGTTTTTTGGGGGTTTTTTTGAGACGGGGCCTCACTATGTAGTTGAGACTGACGTGGAACTCACGATGTAGCCCAGGCTGGTCCCCAACTCACAGCGATCCTCCTGCTTTAGCTTCCCAGTGCTGAGATTAAAGGCGTGTGCCATCACGCCTGGCGGAAATAAGCTTTTCATGTAGTACCAAGGAAAAAGTACTCACAAAGAACTGGAGAAGAAACACCGAGAGTCAGCCCCATCACCTTCCATCTTTGGAAGAAAGACCCAGGCTTTTTATTTTTCCAGAGACTGGTCTGGATGGACTGAGTGTCAAATCACATTGTATTTTCCTTTATTTTTTCTTTTTGAGAACTTCCCATTGAAGATTAAAAAGGGTGTTTTTGCTTTGTTTTAAAGTTTTTAAGTAAATTCTTGGAATCCTTTGGATTGCTTAGATTATGCTAAACACAGAACTGAACTTTACGCAAAAATGTACTTTAAAAACATGCCTAAAAATCTAATTTTTATAAATGGGATAACTCTTGGACTGAAAAAATTTAAGGCTCCTTTCAATTTTAAAGAACTGTAAACTATATAACAATCTAAGAGGTCTCAATTTTGAGTTTTAATTCACAATGACCTTCTACACTGGACATTACTCCATTCCTTTCTTGAAGCCTCTCTGTTATGGCCAGCTCTCAAAAATGTAGCCTAAATGAGTTTAATGTCTAATAGAGTATAACTGTGACTATTCTTTAAAAGCTCAAATCTACTCTTGCTTCTATTTGTTTCCTGTGATCTAATTGCTTGTAAGAGCATGCTGTAGTGGCAAGATTCCAAGATGGACCCCACAGGACCACACTTTGGCATCTGGGACCTCATGAGTACTCTTTTCATTGGCAAACACCTGGTCATGACTGAGGTTAACCAATAGAACATGGAGGAAGTGGCACTGAGCCAGCTCTGTGACTATAGACTGGATCCTCTGAGGCTTCCTCCAAGGACATTTGCTCTCAGGAGTCCTGGGCTGATGTGCAGGAAATTTCACTAACCTGCTGCCACGACCATGTGAAGAGGCTCCGAGACCCTACAGAGAATAGGCAAGGTCGAGCCATTTCAGTCCTTGATCTAGCCTCCAGATGACTCCAGTACCAGCTGCCTTGTGATTCCAACAACATGAGAGATCTCAAAAGAGGCCAGCAGAAGAACCGCCCTGCTGAGTCCAGCCACCCACAGAAAGGCTGTTTTGAACAGTTTGTTCTATGGCAAGTTAATAGCATACATGATGACAAAGTTGTTAACCAGAAGACTTTCTGTTTCAATGATAGCCTTTCTGTTTACCAGAGTGAGTTGCTTTCCTCAAAACAATTCATATACTAACTTGAAAGATTTTGATGGAAATATCAAGCTTACCCTTACCATGTAGGTTAGTGCGTAGCCTACTTATTCCTGATCAAAAAACTCATCAAAGAGTGAGATTCTCTCTGGCCTGGTCCTCATGAGTGGCTGAGGTTTTTTCTCATCTCTGCCCAGTTCTTCTGAGTCAGAGCTAGAACTGTCCCACAGGAGCTGTCCACGGGCCTCTTGTTCATGAAACCACTTTTCCATTTTGCCCATTTTCCAGGGACAATAGTCATTGATTGCTTGATATTCCAAAAATTCTGCATCCTGTGAATTTCCTATGAAGATGAAAAGTTATTTTAATTTAATTTCCTCTAACAATTCTTTTGGTTTAGTTAAGTGCCTAGGTTTTTATGGACACAGAGTAACTTGAGATTTTTTTTTTAATATACAGATTTAAAAGTACATATTTCCAACTGGTGTCTCTGTAAGCATCAAAAATTTTAGTTGTTATCTTGAAAATTTTAAAATCTTTTGAAAGTCACAAGAATAGTATAGTACTTACCAATGTACCTTGAGCCATCTATAGTATTTTGCACAATATTGCTTTTAGCTGAGCCACTTGAAAATTAGTTGCAGTCATTCCCTTAGAAATATGTCATCACAATTCTCTGATGAACAAGCGCATTTCTGCTACACAACTACAGCAACAATGATTTCTGTAGAAAATTTAACACTGATATAATGCTATCTAATACAGTGGTGCCTCGGTTTGGGAACTTAATTTGTTTTACAATTTTCGGAAAGATGGCTGCGTTTGTGTTTGTGTGGGGAAGAGGGCTGAACTGTGTGCAAACAGAAGCATTTGTGAACCAAGGTACTACTGTGTATGATCCTTATTCAAGTGTGTATGGAGGCTCCAAAAATTCTCTTTAGAGCTAGCTTTTGTTTTCTTTTTTTAGGTGCAGGATCCAATCTAGGATCATGCACTGTATTTCATTTTCTTATCTCTTTATCTTTTTTTAATTAAAAAATACTTCCCTCCTTTTCTCTCATTCTGTCCTTCTTCCTCTATCTACATTGTCTCAATTTTTTGTTAACACCGACATTTTAAAGAGTCCAGGTTGCAGAAGATACCCTAGACTAGGCATTTTAAATTGTTTCCTTGTGATTAACTTAAGGTTAAATATGTTGGACAAGGATATTGGATAAGTGATGTTTCTCAGAGCTTTTTATTGAGTGCTTCTTGATGTTCACATTTAACATTCACATCAACACTGACTTCATAGGGAACTAGGAACTCAATGGTTTATAATTTTATTTTTATTTTACTAGAAAAGACTAACTTTTTATGTGATTTTATTTGTGTACATATCTATGTATTTACTTTAACTTTTTATTTAAACAACATCCAGTGTCCTTTTAGAATGTCCAGAGAAACATGGTTTTGCTTGAGAAAGGTTTGCTTTCAAGAAAACAGAATCTTCCCAATTAGTTTTAAGCAGAAAAATAATTCCAGGTTAAAGTACCCCAGTCTGGATGAAGCAGACTGAATTATGTTAGTGACCATTGTTTATTAAATCTTTTGCCATGTTTTATTTAAACTCTAGATATCGGTAGTTATATCCAATTGTATAAGAAAACCAGCATTTCTTTTTTTTCTTTAGCCTCACATTTTAAAAAGCTACTTGATTGAGGTGTGACTGACATGAAAAGCTATGTACTTTTTTTTTTTTTTTCAGTATTAAGGATCAAACTTGGGCCTTTGTACTGAACTACTTCCCTAACCCTTTTTTATTTTGTAAGAGTCTTGCTAAACTGAAGCTGGGGCTGAACTTGTGTTCTTCCTGTGTGAGCCTCCCGGAGTGCTGCATTTTAAATTTATACAGCTTGATGAGTTGAGAGTCAGGCATTTTGATGTGAGGATTTATGCCTTGTGATTCGTCAGAGTCCCTTCAGCCTTGTAGACCAGGCTGCCCTGGCCGCCCCTTGAACAGCACCACGATTATCCTCGTTTTTACCTATGCAGCCCTGACGGATCACTCCAGCTAAAGTATGTCAGCAGCCCTGACCTTTCTTCTGAGCTACTGGGCTTTTCAAAAGCTGGACACCTCCACTTCCACATCCACCTGGCCTCGTGCCAGCCTCACCATTTTTCTCAGGAACCTGCTCTGCTCCCAGTTGCTGTGGTCCAGGGAACCCAGGAGTCTATCTGGCCCCCTGCTCTCCATGTGCCCACGTCAGCTCCTGCCACCTCTGCCTCCTGCAGGTGGTTGTCCGGCACCTTCTCTCTATTCTCAGCCTCTATTCTCAGAGCCTCGCTGTCGATCACTGTGGCCAGGCCTGACTCACCTCCTCCCGCGGATGAGGCGGGGCCCTGCTCAGGAGAACAGGTGACAAGGGCACGAGGTTAACAAGGCCTGGCTGAGAAGAGGATTGTCTTCCTCCTGGTCCATTCACCAGGAAACCGCCAAGCATGATGTCCTGCAGACCTTAGCTACTCTCCTGGTCTGGCTGCAGACCAGCCCCATTTCCGCCCATGCACTTCTCCTTTCTCTACCTCTATAAACTTGCTGCATCTGCCTGGTGGTCTTTTCTCCCATTGGGAGGTAGAGCCCACCTGGCCCCGCCTTTACCTTCTTTCTTTGTTTTTTCTTAATCTCCCATTATCACTTCTCACTCTGTGGCCCCTTCAGCACGTGGGCTGTGGCGTCCTGGAACGCGCATTGTCTCTTTCTTGTGTTGCTGTGTCCTGCGTAGCTTGTCTCCTACATCCTCTTGCATTTCCCTCTACCCACTTTCCACGGTGTAGATGGACTGAGTATTTTTTTAAATATCTGATCATTGCTGCTCCCTTATCCTATCAGTGTTCCCACTGAACTTAAGATAGAGTTCAAAATCTGTCATTGACCTGCTTTCCAAAGCGAGTCATCCCAGCTCATCCTCTGAGTCTGTCCAGGGTCTAGAATCACTGCGCTCCCTCCCACAGTGGGGCTTTCGCACATCCTGGTGTTAGTTACAGTTTGTGACAGTCCAGCCTCCCTGGTCCTCACACTCACATGCACTCCTGCTCCTTTGTATCTCATCTAAATGTCACTTTCTGATGGAAAAGTGCCCTGACCTGCAGATCACCAGCTTTTCCAGTTGTACCCTGCCTGAACATCTCATTCACGATGTGTCCCACGAAAGCATTGCAAACCAGAAGCCACATCTGCTTGGCTTCTGGCCATACCATGAGCCCACTGTGCGATGCCTCGCAGCTGGTATGTGTGCAACAGCTATGTGTTTAATAAGTAAATAGTAAATAAATAAACCAACAAACCAGTTAATGGTCAGAGAACTTTAGGAGGCGAGGAGTAATGGTAAGGAGGACCTGGGAAAGACTTTACTCATTGGTGCGTAGAGGTACTTTTTATCTCTGCTCTGCAAATGAGCCAGGAACCACTGAACCATCCCCCAAACTGAAGAGGAATGTTCTAGAACATCTGACTAGAGGCAGAAGCTTTAAACAAAATGTTGGTTAGTGTGGGATCTAATGAGATAATAATGAGAGCATATGTCCAACAACATCCTTGGTGTTATGTTAATTCAGTTCTAAAGTTAGTTTGTGAGCAAAATATCCATGCTCAGTTAGCTTTGAAAAATCAACTGTTCTATGTACACGGCTGTGTGTACACAGCCTTATAGCATGAGAACTTCTGAGCTAGATGTCTTATTTGTTAGATTTTTGTAAGATGTATGACTTTCTGTAGTTTATAGACTTAAACATCAATAAAAATAAAAACACAACCTATAAATTCTAGAAGGGTTTTGAGTGAAGGATAGTAGAGGGTAGTACATTCAGCTCCAAAATTAATTTGGGGGTAAAGAGAAACAACAGATGCCTGTGTGTGTGTGTGTTTAGGGTGAGTTTGGAAATGCAAAGGTTATAAAGCATGAAAATGTTTGGTGGTTTTGTTTTATAATATATGTTTTATAAAAATGAATCACTACTATAGTATACCCATAATTTTACAGACAGTGCTATAGTTTAAAAAACAAAGCAGCATACTTTATAGAAAACTAGTACAGTTGTCCAGGTAAGACCAGAATTGTGAAGGTGACTAATGATGGATTAAATGATGGATTTAATCAAATGATGGATTTAGGGTGACATTTCTGTGAAGCATGTTGGTTATTTAGCTGCAAGGCACAAATTCTACCTTTTAAATTTTTGTCTGTGTTCCCATACCTTCCTTATGACATTTTACATTTTCTATGTACTTTTACACATCTGAGGTCAATTTTTATATAAACTTTACATGGTAGGCAATATTTATTCCCACTTGCACATGTGGAAACAGATTCACAGAGATTCCGTAACTGGAACTTTGTATATTCTCTCTCTTTAAAGAAAAAAGCCATGCAGAAAAATGTATGGCTGGTTTTTACTGGGAGATTATTATGTGCCAGGGCTCTCCTGGGGCAATGAACATTTCCTGTTCTGGTGGAGCGGGTTTAGTGGAGCCCTTGTGGAACTGCTGGGCTCAGTGAAGGATTTTGATCCTAACTCCACTGTCTTGCCTCTCACTGTGTTCAAATCATGTTTTCTGAAAGGGCAGGGGCCACATAAATACATGAAAACTCATAGAATTGTATGCTCAAAAGGGTTAGGCTAACTTCATTTCTATTATACGATTGTGGAAGTTTTATCTCTAGGTACTCTATGGAATTTATCCTATAGATATGTGTAGCATGAAGAGTAGCTGATAGCATCGTAAAGAGGCAGCAGCAGGCCAATTTTTATAGCTGAAACTCTCGTCCAACCTCCCAAAGGAGAACAGGAAAGGGAGACCACCTCATTAAAGGAGAGTAACCTTAACTGCCTGCTGGAGCTCGTGACTGTGCTGGAGCTCGTGTCAGCTACACTCACTGTGGAAGAAAGCAAAGTGAACAACTTTTAGGAAGCAGAAAAGGAAAGCAAAGATGCTCAGGGGCGGTAAGGAGGAAGGAGTCCTTGTTAGTGCATCTGCCCAGCATAGGGAAGTGGGCAAGTTCAGAGTCAGTGCCCCAAGTGTGAATCCCCTGGGCAGCTGTGCCTCCCTCTGTGTGACCTTGGCATGGACGTGCCCTCTACAGATCTAGTCTCTTCCTCTGTAAGAGAGAGGTGGAAAAGTCCTCACCTCACAGAGCTGGCACAGAGAGGATTTCATAATCCCTTTTAAACTGTTAAAAGTACCTTACCAATGCTACCTCTGTTCACTGTTCCCGATCGCCCCCGCTTTCACACGTGTAGGGCTGTCTGACAGTTAAAGCACAGAGGACAATGGTAGATTCTGTGTACATTTTAATTTCTCCGTCTTCAAACACATCCGTGGCTGCTTGCCCTCCCATGCTCTCCAACAACTTTGCGAGGCCTAACACTGGTGCAGCCTCCTGCCATCTGGTCACTCCTGCCTGCGTTGTCCTTTTAGTATCCACCCCTGGAGGGCACGGGGCAGGAGAACATGTAATCAGAGTCTGCCAGCCCCTACTACTTCCTTTGGGAACTCCCCAGAGCACTGCCTTCTCTTGAAAGTTATGGCCAAGGACTTGCTAATGCTTTTTTTTTTCTCCTCTGGTGCTGGGGATCGAACTCGGGACCTCGCACTTGAGAGCCAGGTGTGGCACCACTGGGCTCAATCCCTGGCCCCTTTTTGTTTTTTTGGTACCAGGGATCAAATTCAGGACCTTGTGCTTGTGAGGCAGGCACTGTGCCACTGAGCTAAATTCCCGGCCCTGATTCAGGCTGTAGATATTCAGCAGCCCCAGGAGTGCCCTGGACACTTTCTGAGTCCTTGGCCACCTGCAGAAGCCACAGCGGTGGGAGGTCCAAAGTCCTGGCCCTGAATCATGGCTCTGCTGCACTGCGGTGAACGGCACCTGCCTTTGAAGTCGTGTGAGGATTAAATGAGGCAATGAGTGGTGTGGGCAGACCACAGACCTGGCGTATGAGCACTCCCTATGCCTGTGCGAACAAAAAGAAGCTGCTTTACAAAGCCTCAGGAGAGGAGAAAAAAAGCCACTGCTTGCTATGTCACAGCCTTTCCCGAGCCTCTCCGGGCCTGGGATTTCCCCCCAAAGCCTCCCAAAACCAATACTGGTTTTTCCAGGCCTGCTCTCAAGTGATGACTTTAGCTGGGACCTTTCTCTCAGTGGTTTTGCCAATATTTTTTTTTATTAGAAAAGGTGTTTCACTATGTGACTATAAAGCCTATTTCATTCTGCGACTTGAGAGCAAAGGTTAAGTGGATGCCCCAAGTGGGTTCTCAGTGGTTCAGCCTTTTCTATTTAATTAGCTTATTGATTAAACATCTTGCTGAAGGTGTCCAGACGCAGGGCCACATCTCTGCAGCTGTCTCAGCTGCCAGCAGGCTGATGGTGGGCGGCCTGCAGCCTGTGTAAGCAACAGGATCACTGGCGACTACAGGTTTACCTTGCCGAATGTGAGGCGGGAACATAGGGGCTCTAGCGGGTGGGGCAGGGCCACGGGGCAGTTATGCACGCAGACATCTGTTGGGAAGCACAGAGCAGGCAGAACTTCAGGCACAATCAGGCCTGGCTGGGGCGTCAGGGCTGAGTGTGCAAGCAGCAAGCGGGTACAGTTAGGGAGGTAGGTGGGGCCAGATCCTGAAGGGCCCAGGGTCCCTTGTTGAGCTTAGATTCTGTCCTTCAATTGATGGAGACTCACTGCGTGATATCTTTTTTTAAGTAGGGGAATGATGTAGTCATATTTGCGTTTTATAAGATCACCCGCCACTGGTGCAGGGCTTCAGTGTGTACAAGAATCCCCGGGGCTCTTCCTAACCAATCTTGACTCAGTAGAACCGGCTGGGACCTGACATTCTCCCCCATCCCCAACAGGGCTGGCTGTGCAGAAGCACCCCCTGCGGGGACATCAGCGTGGCCTGGGTGGGTGGGGGGTAACCCCACCGCTGGGCCTCACCCCGAAGCTTGATTGGGTTCCACTGCCTGGAACACCTAGTCCCCGGGGTGATACTGAAACAGATGAGAGCCAGTAAGAACCACTGACAGGGAGGGTGGTGGAAGGTGGGCGAGGCTCAAGAGGAGGAGGCCGGTCGGGTGGCAGCTGCAGCGGCCCTGGAGTGACTGGCTGAGGGCTTGGCCTGAGGTGATACCATTGGGAACAGAAAAGAGGGGACAGATCTCAGTGGCAGGTGACCTCAGCAGGACTTTGTGACGACCAGCTGCAAGGCGAGGGTGAATACGTGAAGAGATCTCAGGGCTCTGGCCTGTGTGACACCAGGCATGGTGGCCACTCGTACTGAGATGTGACAGGAGGAGCCAGCCCAGAGAGGGCAGTGATGCTGGGTTCCCCTCAGCCATTCTGACTGCAGAGGGAGAGTGCAGTCAGGGACAGGAGCGTCTGTGTGCTTCGTTTCCTAGCAGTCCGATGAGGGGACTCTGCCTTCTCCTCCTAGGGATGGGTGAGGGTTACACTGACACACGTGAGGCCAGTTAACCCCACGCTGTGAAAGCAACACTGTGTTATAGAGCTTTCCTTTCTGACCTTTCCATCGCATGCCTACCGACTGTATTCCGAGAAGCGCACACCAGCACGAAACTGAGGCCGTTCCTCTCCTCACTGTCTTCTTCACCCTCACCCTGGGGGTTTGTTTGCGGAAGTTTCTAAAATGCTTGAGATGTTTTACTTACAAAAGGTAACGTGACTCACCTGGACCTCTCTTCATGATTCCGTCAGGCAGCATGGTTACCACGTCATCATCGTCCTTCCTCGGGAAACTTTGAAGTGTTTTTTGGGATTGATGGTCTCTCTGTGTTTGCTTATTAATTTTTGCTTCCCTGTGAAGACTTTTCTTCAATTCCATTTGGCCCTGAAAACGATCAGCTTTAAGTGGTTAATGTTCTCCCCAAGCTCTTTTCACCAGGATAGAGCAGCAGATCAGCCACTTTAGAAAGTGTAATTTGTCTATAGACATCTCTAGCCCCCTAACTGCGAGTTTTCTTCTTCCTGTTAGAAGATAAGGAGGGGGGCTCTTTATTCACAGGATTATTAGGAGAAAGGTGAGTACACACACAGTCTCAAAAAGCTATAGCACAACTGGGACTCGGACCATTGTGGAAAGATTTCTCTGCAGGCCGAATTCTACACTGGAACTGTAGAAGACACTTAACTGTGAGCTTATTTTGTGCAGATAGGAATTCAGGATGTGGCAGTGACAGGACACCACTGGTAGAGGAGTTTGTTACCCGAGGTCTGCTGCAGTTGGGTGCGCTCCACAAAATCCACGCACTGGACATTTCATCCCCAGATTCACGTGGATGGCATTTGGAGGTGCGGCCTTTAAGAGATGTTCAGACCATGATGGCTTCACCTTTGTGGTGATCAAGCTCAGTATGTGGGAGAGGGTAAATCCTCATGGGAGGAGGACAAGTGTACTCGGTGGCTTGGGTTCCTCCTACTCCCATTCTGTCACTCTCTGGCCAGGTAATCTCCTCTACCAGGCTAACACACAGCAAAAAGGCCCTCGCCAGATGCCAGCTCCCTGACCTCAGACTTGGGAGCCTCGACAAGGGTGGAAAATAGATTTTTCTTGGTTGTTCTTTTTTAGCAGCAGAAAAAGGACCAAGACTAGATCTTTCTTGTAAGATAACCCTGTGGCATGAATTATAGAGAAAAAGAATAAAGACCAACTCTTCCTCCTACACACTTCCCTCTCACTAAGCCAGGACACATTATCTACCCCATTTTCCTGCTGGAGCCAGGGTGTCAGAGGAGTAACCTGTTTTTAAAGAGAAGACTTGAAGCCTAGAAGCATTCTCGAAATGACTACAAACAGGAAAGACTCAAGAAGGCTATTAGCGGAAGGGACCTCCCTGGTTCTTCCCAGCGACAGTAGTTGAAGCTTCAGCTCCAGTGACTACATTCGAAATGCCGAGGAAAGATTGGACATGCAGGCTGGTCTATCTTACGTGTCAGTGCAATGATTATGTGGTGTCAATTTGGTGAATGTAACAGTCTTCTCATTATTTACCTCTTGTCTTTTACGGCTCATTTCCAGCATTTGCATCTTATGTAAATACTGTCTTTTCCCAGAATTATCCATTGGAGTTTGCATTTTCTTTTCCAGTTCCTGATATGAAAGATGACATAGTCATTAGTATGATTTGTTAACTGACTCTGCAGCCCACAACCTTGAATCCTTCTTGGAGCAGAGTGCAATCTTAATCCATCATGATCCACCGTGATCACTTATGATGATAAAGGCGGATGACTGTGTGGTCCCCAGGGTCCTTTGTGTCACTATCGGTGCCTCAAGTGGCACTTTGCTACTTGGGGCTGCTGTAGATTTCTGCAGACCTCGAATGCAAAGGTTCTGCCAGTTTTATTATGACAATATATCATTTCCCCTGCCAGCAGATGCATATTACTGCCTCCCCAGAAATGTGTTCCGGTTTGATGAGTGCCTCCTTTCTCTCCTCACCTCTTGCACCATTGCCTGGTTGTCTGGCTGTGAGGTGAGAGAGAGGACAGCCACTGAGTGCTTATGTGGAGCTTATTTCTGTGCACTGCATTCTCTGAGCCCTTAGGAGGATTGTAGCTGCAGAGGGTTTGACAATGGTTATTTGTGACCCTGGTTATTAGAGTAAGCAGAGGTGACTATGCTGTCCCTTTTTGCCTGCTGTTGCAGGAAAAGGTTGGAATGAGTTAAGAGATGCTCTTTTTTTTTTTTTTTTTTGGTACCGGGGATTGAACTCAGGACATTGCACCTGTGAGGCAGGCAGTAGAATGACAGCTAAATCCCCAGCCCAAGAGATGCTCTTGTACTGTCCTGGGACAGTGCTGTGTGAGCCGCTATGACCCTCAGGAAGGGGTCATCACTGCAGGTGCAGTCAGCACACAGACATGGCCTGGAGCATCTGACAGTACCTGGACAGCTATTAGCAAGGCAGCCAGCTTATGGCAGAGCGAAGCTGGCTCCAAGACGAATCAGGAGTGGAGAATGTGGGAGGTTCTGCTTCCTCACAGCTTCTGTTGTGTGTGTGTGTGTGTGTGTGTGTGTGTGTGTGTGTGGTCAGGGACAACCTGTAGATAAGGTTTCTCCTGCAAACTGAGAACAAAAAGATTTAAACTGGTGAAAGACAAGGATTTCCCACAGATCTGACAACTAGAATCCCCTATTAGCATGCTGACCCCTCCTTCCCATTTCCACGGCCCCATCTTCACCACAAAGCGGAGCGTGCTCATCAGAGAGGAAAGGAGAACTTCCAGCTTCAGGGGGGAACCGGTGAGAATGGTAGCTTTGAAGGTTCTCACTGCGAGGTCCTGAGCTGGCTGTGAACTCTTCAGGGCTCTGCCTCCAACCCCTGCAGCCGCCCTCAGCGAGCCACCCCTCCTCACCTTTGCTCTGGGCCTCATCCTGGCTTCCTGCTGGCTTGGGAAACCTTCAGATGTCCTTCCTTGCGGCAGGTCAGCGGGCTGAAGCTTCTGGAAGTCCAATATTTAGAGTATTCAGTGCTCCTCATGCCACAGGAGGACGAGACACAAAAGCCAGACCTTAAATGGTCTCAGCACTTTGCCGAGGTGGCACTTACTCTGTGAGTACAAGGGGAAGGCAGGCCCAACAGGGTCACAGGCACAGCTGTTCAAAAGGCTTTTGACCTTGCTGAGCTCTGTATGGTTCCACGGTGGTGACTCATGAGTAGAAATACCAGTCAAAGGGAGAAGAGACTACGAATCCCTTTCCGTCTGCACTGAGGAACTGTGCTCCAAGTTATCAAATAGCTAGTTCTTAGAATATTACAGCCAGCCGACAGAGGCCCCAGGAATTCACTTTATTCTACTAACCCTTTAAGCACCCAGCTGAGCTATTCCAGTCAGTAGGGAAGAAGCCCATTTTTAAGTTCTCCAGAGGCGCTCACTCAGGCCCCCGGCAAATCACTGATGATTCTAAGACACACTTGAGGTGAAAGTTCAAGGTGCTAGCAAATGTCATCTCTAGCATGGCCTTGGCTTTGTGGGAAACTTCGTGCAGGAGTTTCAAGAGTCACTGAGACTGGGCAGCAATTCATGTTCATGGGCGGCCTCTGCCCTTTCACCTAGGCTCACTTCCAGCTCCACAGACCGAGCACCGAGAAACGACTGAGCAGACTCAGAGGGGAAGCCTCGACTCTCCACACAGACCTGCAGTTTACTGGTCACCCTGTAAGTGCTTACTAAAGGACTGCTGTGTGACAGACTTGGGACACGGTGGTCAACAAGAATGGAACTGGTAGGCAATAGATACTTTTGCTTGTGTGATCACCTGACCGACATTAACAATGATCAGTGCTTTGAAGAATACATCTATATAGAAGGATTATGACAGTATATAACCGGAGGACACAACCTTGAAGATGAACAAGAGATGTTATGGGTAGAGTTATGTCCATTCTTCCCATTCATAGGTTGAAGTCTTAACCCCCAGTACCTCAGAAATAAGGTCATTAAAAATGAGGTCATACTAAAGTAGCAGGCCTGTAAGTCCACTGTAAAGGCTTTCTCATAACATGGTGAAACCTAACAGAAGTACGCATACAGGTACAGGAAGACACCCAGTGGAGACAAAGGCAGAGCTGAGGTGATGCTTCTGTAAGCCAAGAATGTCACAGTTCCTGAGAGATGGAACAGATTCTCTCTCACAGCATCAGAAGGAACCAGCTCTACAGATACCTTGATCTCACACCTCCAATCTCCAGCACCGAATTAAAGTGAATTTGTTTGTTTAGGCTAACCATTTTGTGGGACTTTATTACAGCAGCCTTAGAGAACTAACTGGAAGGAAAAGTCTAAGGGGCAGTTAAGAAAGTTTCCTAAGGATTTTTTTTTAGCAGAAATTGGAAGATTGGAAACTGTTATGGTTTGTATCTAGATGTTCCCCCATGCACTCTTAGGTGCGACTTTTTGGAGGTAGCTGGATCTAGGGTATATGATAACTGGGATTAAAGGTATGTGAGAACTAATTGGTTTAGCATAGTTCTGGGTGTGGAAGATGGAAGCCCCACCCTGGGTGTGGGTGGCACCGTCAACAGGCTTGTGGTTTAGATGGAGTATAGAGGGACAGAAAGAAGGTAGCCTTTGCTGCTTGCTGCTTCCTGTCTTCTCCTGGCCATACCATGGACCATTTCTCCTCTGCCAAAAAAACCCTGCCTTGGAGCAAGCTGACTGTGGACTGAAGCCTCTACAAACTGAGCTATAACAAACCTTTCCTCCTTTAACTTTGGGTGCTGGGTATTTTATCTCAGCAACGAGAAAAGTAAGACAGGAGTTCTTAGGGGACTCTACGAGGCAGAGTTAACAACAAGTGCAATGACTCTGAGATGGAGGAGTGTGGTCTATTGGAAGAACTGAAAGAGGTCAGCTGGCTAAGCTTTTTCAAGGAAAGAGCAGCTCAAAACAAGGTTGGGTGGGGCAAGGTGTGCAGGGCTCACAGCCATTCCAAAGATGGTTGGTCTCCTTAAGAACAGCAGGAAGCCACTGATATGTATTAGGCAAAGTAATCACACGATTACGTATGCTTTTAACAATGATCACGCTAGTGCAGCGTGGAAACAAGATTAGAGAAGAGCAGCTACTTAAGTGGGGAGAAAAGTTAGTAGGACAGAGATGACAGAGGAAAAACATACAGGCACCATGGCTACTTAAACTTGGGAAAAGAAGATGAGCTGTGGTTGGAGAGCCAGGGTGAAGTTTCCAAACAACACCCCAATAAAAAGGGTGTACAGTGCTCCTGATGGAGACAGGGAGCCCTAGAAGAGGGGTAGAGAAGAAAGGTGCATCTGGGCTTGGACATCTGTGAGACGTGCTATGGTAGATGCTGACCAGGTAATTTCTTATACAGGCACGGGGCACAGAGGAGAGGTCTGTGCTGGGGATGCATAACTGGGAATGGTCCCTGGGTAGAGCGTGACAGCAACCAAAGTCATGGGCATGGTCAGGAGCGTGAAGAGCTGAGGGCTGCGGACTTGAAGAGTTCCAAGGCTGAGCTGGCTGATGGGGATGCGCTGACAAGGAGACTAAGAAGTGACCACTCGAGGGGCAGGAATGCCCAGAGGACATCAAGATGGAACCTACAGGGTGATCGCCTCAGCTGCCTTAGTCCAACATTAAAGGCAAATGATAATTTGCTTAAAATTGTTTCTCATTACAGAATGGTTTGTGGCATTGTAAAGTAGATTTGGAAGACAGGCAGGAAGAACAGGACCATGGAAGAGAGAGGCTAAGTATCTAGGACTTGGAGCGGGGAGCATGACCTGCCTGGGTCTCCTGCTGCCTTTCTGTAGATCCACCTGGTCCGTGGGCCTAGGCCTGACCTGTCTGGGGATCCACCAGCACCCCTTCTGTTGGAGCAGCCCAAATGTGACCTGGCAAGGAAGAAAAGAAGGTCAAAGAGTGTGGAGACAGGGGAGACCTCAAAGGAGAGGCACTCCCCTCTGTGTGTCAGGAAGTTTGCATTTATGGTAGGAACCGGATGGAACTCTGGCCTATGCTCACCTCTGATGAGGAAGTGGCCTTTAAACCTAACTTAGCAAAGATGCAATGAGAAGTGACCAATACTAGCCAGAAAAGTTCATTGTCCTTGCTGTCAATTTCCAGGACATGAAGATGCAAAGCAAATGGGACTCAGGAGGCAGCAACTGACTGAGGCAATGCTACAAGGAAAGGAGAAGAGGAGGAAATAGAAGGAAGGCCAAGGCAGATGGGGCCCCAGGCGTACCTGGAGGAGCAATCGGCAATGGCTGCAGGCGGTTTCTCGAGGAAGGGGGGATGGGGAAGTACCTTTGCTGTCCCTGGGCACTGGGGCTATTCAGGATTGGGTCTTTCTGATTAGGCCTATATGACTTTGAGGCCACTGGTGCACACCACACCCAGGTATAAGCCTCAGGTGAGCCCCGTGTGTGATTAGGAGAATCGCTATTCCAATTCCACAGAAGTCAGTGACAGGTCCAAGTTTCCTAGCTAGAAGGTGGCATCTCCGAAATTCAAAGGCAAGTGTGTCCAATTCCACTCCCGTGCTGCCTCCTTCATTATTTGTTCCCTCACATGGGTTTGCCATCAGGATCTTCTGGAATTGAAAAAAGAAATTTCTGGGAGATTGACATCCAACAGTTGTGGGAAGAGTTTTCGGAATCCTCCCAGGCATTCTGGCGGTCCCCTTCCAGGTTGGGCCCACTGACCTCCACATAGCCTTGACTGGACATGAGATCTACATCAAAATAGACCACGGAGGCTCTGTTGGTCGATCAAGTTAGAAGAATTTAGTCTATAAAGCTGAATTTTCTCATTTACAATCATCTATGTATAAATTATTATGGTCAGGTTTTTGCTTTAAGTATATAAAAATAGGAGTAATTCACAAACCCCTTTCTTCTACCCCCAATCTTTTTATTTAAATTCACAGTTCTGATAAGAGTTACGTGGTAGGTAGGGATCTTCAAGAACTCTCTTCAGGCAATTACTTTCAGAATCACATTATTCCTGCACATGGCCACCAGATGGCAGCAACTGACATTGCAAATAGGTTTTGTAACAACTTGGCCGGAGCATTGCAGGACAAATTGTTAGGAAAATCGGTTTCATCAGTCAAATAACTTTGCCTTGGAATTGTGGGATCATGTGCATATTCCTTTGTCTGCCCGGGAACTAAGATGCCTCAGTCCATCACCTTCAGAGAGAACAGAATGCAAGGAATAACTAGCAGATCGATAAAATGACAGGTTTCATGTATAACCATAAGAAATGTATTATTTGTCTAAAAACTTACATGACCCGTCTTTGGCTTTTCAGATAAAGTGAATGATAAGCAGAACCAGTAGGAATGTCTTCCAGGGGCTCACGGGATCCAGGTCCAGTCACCCCAGACCGTAGTCACTGAAATTGGTGACAGACGCTGACCTGAGCTAACGGCTTCTGTGAGTGGGGCAAGAAGATGAAGATGGGCTCAAAGAAAGTGTTGAATCAGCGTCCAGTGTGTGCTCTTAGGGTTCTGGGCAGCGAGAGAGGAGAGTCCAGGATAGCTTTAAGCCGAGAAATCGTGAGGTCAAGGAAGAATTTCTGATCTAGGCATTGCAGCGAGTTCACATTTCAGAGACATTCTTCACTGCAAACAGATAGCAATGAAAAAATAAAGCATAAAATTAAAAAAGAAATGTGGCTTGGCTTCAATACAGAATGAATGTTTCTCTAGATCACAAAACATAGAAAAGCAAATATTTGAGGAAAGACGCTCGTTATCACAGTGAGTTATCTCTGTTGGTTAAGAGGGACATAAAAATGTTCCATAGAAGATGGGTCTCCTTGAGCCGGGCGCACTGTTGGAAATCAGGGGCCGTTCTCAAGCCCTGCACCCAATATGAAAGAGGGGCAGGGCTGGGACTACAGTCAGTGGCCGATCAACACTTAGCATGCTTGGGCCTGGCTTCAGCCCTGGCACTGGAAAAAAGAGCAGG